CAGCAGGTCAAAGAAAGGCAAAATCTCCCATTATATGGATGAGCGTCTGAGGCTCAGAGATGGTAAGGCACTTTTCCAGGATCACACAGCCTGGTTGCAGTGATAGAACCAAGACAGGAATATCCAGGTATACCTCACTACAAGCTGATGCTTACACACTGCTGCTAGAAACTGACATGATCAATGAACACGGATAAAGCTAATGACAACATCTATCAATGCCTGAAGATGCAATCTAGCTTCCAAGACACAGATCTGGACCTCTGGTCTCATCCGAGGCAACTGCCTGTGCTGAGAAACTAGTTCCTCACGAGCGTATATGGCGCCACCCTGCTAAGTTCTGTGGAAACATGTATCATTGCTCACTGTGAAATTTTCACGGAAGGTCTGGGAGCTTTGAGAGAGCGAGATTAACAGTGGACTTACAGAAAAGGGCAGCGATGCTCAGGGCAACGTGTAAGCTATGAAATATATCAAATTCTCAAAGGAATCAGACAGTGGAGATCAATCAGAAGAGACCTGTCTCAAGAGACCAGGACAGAAAATATCCAGGGGAAATGTCAATTCACAGGCAAGAAGGGGAGATACTTGAAATGAGGAAAACTATTGGGAGCGTGTTTTGCTTCTCTTGTGTTCACCAAAGTGGCAAGAAAGCAAGTAACGTCACGTGAGATTGCTTCCAATAATTAGGCGTTGCGGGATACTGGGGCACGAGCAGATGGTCACGTCCCAGATCTCTGGTGAGGCCCTGGGATGTGCCCCGCCGAGAGAAGGTCCTTGGCTTTGCACAGGAAAGAATTCAAGAGCCAGCCATTGTAAAGTGGAAGCCAGTTTAGTTAGAGAGATACACATTCCCTGGGCAGAATGCGGTCTCTCTCAGAAGGGAGAGCCGCCCCAGGGCATGGGGCCATCTTGGACACTGAGAGCAGCCCCGGTGGGTGGGGAGGTGGTTAGTTTTTATGGGCTGGATAATTTCATATGCTAACAAGTGGGAGGATTATTCCAACTACTTGGGGGAAGGGGTGGCGATTTCCAGGAACTGGGCCACGGCTCACTTTTTGGCCTTTTATGGTCAGCCTTGGAACCATCATGGCACCTGCTGGGTGTGCCATTTAGCGTGTTAATGTATTATAATGAGTGCATGATGAGGCTCCAAGGTCTACTGGAGGTCAGATCTTCTGCCATCTTGGGCCTGGTTGATTCTAACCAATTTTTGTTGTCTCCTCAATGGCTGTGTCATTCTTCTAACGGCTGTGCCCTGCCCTCTTCCCTCCTGTCTCATAGGGAGATGACTTGGAGTTCCTAAGAGCCAATGAGTCACGGTGCAAGCCAGTAAGACTCTCTTAACCTACAAGAGGTCAGGCAATCAAAATATGAATAAAACGGCAGAGGCTCAAAGATAAACCCCTTTTCAGCCACCAGGAAACCTACTAGACCTGTTACAACCTCCCTTCAAGTGTTTTGTTCGATAAACCAGGGGGCCTGCTCCTTTAGCGAAAATACTCAACTAAACTTAAAAAATATTTTCCACAGAAACACAAGGCTTCCAGGAGGCCTTCTTCTATTTTCATCTTGGCCTTTTAATGTTCAGTGTCCATCATACATGGCAGTCCAGGGGAACTGGAGTAGCCAGGGCCATCCTTGGGGGTTGTTGCTGCTAGCAGGCTCTGAAGAGCAGCATTTAGCTGAGCTCCCAAACCAAGCAAAGCCTCAGACCCCAAGTCAAGCATGTTAAGAAATTAGTCTTCGTTCAACTGGACCTTTCACTGTCCTAATGACTTAGTGAATTGAGTCTGATTTTGTTCACAGAAGCTATTCTTACGGACTCAGCATCCCTGTGGAAGGCCAAATGAAGCACTTGATGGTCTGGGTCATTGCTGAATGTGCCCCATTCAGACAAACAAAGCACCTCTGGCTTAAAACGTCGGGGGACAGTGGGCGTGGCACTGTTGTGGCTTAGCAAGGCTTAGAGCAAGGAGTTTTGGACCCAGAGACTTGGATTTCAATTTGGCATCTTGCCCACTTCCAGCTCAGTCACCTTGAGCTAAGAGGTTACCAAATCTTTATGAATCTCCATTCTCTCATCTGTTCAGTGGGTATAAAAATAGTTTTGGATCTTGCATGAAACAGGAAAGTGGATATAACGGGTAGGGGCATAGTTCTTTGCGTGGACTGGATGCTCGGCAGATAGTAGCAATTAAGAATGATTTTTATTAGTGAAGGTGATCATAAGAATTTTATCACTATCCAACGTCTCTGACCTTTGGTTTCCTAAACTGTTACACAGGAGTCATGCTAGCACCCACCTCATAGCACTGCTGTGGTTAAATGGAGTGCTTAGCTCCATGGCTGGCCCATTGTAAGCGCTGAATAAATGTTAGTTGCTACTTTATATGGTTTTTAAAAATTCTCATCTTTGGACAGACAGATAAAAATCACATGGCATATTGAGGTTAATGTTTTATTTATATAATGCTGGATAGACTGGGTGTTAATGGGGGAAAAAAATCCCTTAGGACTAAAAGGAAAGGGACTTAAGTTCTAGGCTTTTTCCTGGCGTTAGGGTTGGTGAAGCTATCTCACATAGCCAGACCTCAGGGTGGCAGACACTGTGGATGCCGTCCCCCCGCCTGTATGTCCCGGAACTCAGCATCGCATGCCCGCGGACCTACTGACTCCCAGCTGCCAATTAACACCCGTTACTCTGCCTTTCTCCGTCTGCTGTAGCCACCTGGACCAGGCACAGCCGCGTTCCAGGCCAAGCAGGAACAAGAGTCACCGGTCACTCTAGTAGGTGACACTGACGCCCTGGGTTGTTTCCTCTCGGCCAGTCTCTGACTTCGGCCGCAGCTGTGAGGGATTGTTCCTGCTCAGTTGACACTGACTCCTTTCATGTCTGCAAATTCCAAGGCTCCCCTGTATCCTTCCTCAAGGCCACACTGTTCCCCAGGAAGGGGGAAGGGGAGGGTGGTGATGGCGCTCACGTCAGCCCCCCTCCTCCCACCGCCAGCCCCCCTACCTAAGAGGTTTTGGGACTCAAGGTCGCAAGAGGCCGCTCAGGCTACGGGCAAGTGCAACCTGGAAACGTGGGCAAGTCACCAGCCCTCCGGGCAACTGTCAGCCATGGGGGATGGGGTGGGTGGGCAAATGTTCCCACCCCCAGCCCCTGCTCCTGCTAGAAGATTGCTGGAGCCGTTCTAACTGCTGTTTAGAGATCCTGATGGAATGGAGCTTCTCCTGGTCTTACCAGCAACCACTAATGTGACTTTCATCGGATCTCCCTCCGGCCCTGCCCCACTCTCCCCGCTCCCTGCTCCCCCACTCCTGCCTCCCAGAATCACACAGAACCCACACAGAGTCAGTGCCTACTGCATGCCAGCAGCTGTTGGCGGACGCTTTTACACGGCTACCTTTTTCATCCCAATCCCAACCCTACGAGGCAGATCTTGCTGTTATCCGAGTTGTAGACACAGGGCAACCGAATGAAGGGGAACTGAAGCCTCCTGCTTAACTTGCATTTACTGACCTGCCCACATTCCCCCAGCGATCAAAGGTGGTCCCTGGGGTGTCAACTCCCCTGTTCCCAGGCTGCGGCTTTCGAGAAGCCCCCAGGCTTTGGAGCAGGCATGGAGGAAGACAGAGGACAGTCAAGTAAACCACAGCGCAGGGATTCTAACCCAGGCGGCGGGATCTCAAAGCTCACCCTTTTCCCCGGTCTGCCTTACCTCCTCGCAAGGAGGCGAAGGCTCAGGGAGGTGAAGTCACATCCTGCAATACAGCTAGTGAGCAGCCAAGCTGCGATTCCTAATCAGGTCTGTCAGACACATAGACCCAAGCTCTCCTACCACACTGATTACTCCCCTTTTTATTATTTTTTAAAAATTGATTTTGATTTACAATGTCGCGTTAGTCTCTGGTGTACAGCATAGAGGTTCTGTTACACATACACATATATTCTTTTTCATATTCTTTTTTATTACAGGGTATTACAAGATATTGAATATAGTTCCCTGTGCAATACAGTTGGACCTTGTTTGTTTACTTTATCTGCAGTGGTGTGTATCTGCAAATCCCAAACTCCCAATTTATCCCTCCCTCGCTACCCCCCGCTGGTAACCAAAATTTTCTTTTCTATGTGAGTCTGTTTCTGTTTTGTAAAAATAAGCTCATTTGTGTTATTTTTTTTTAGATTCCACACATAAGTGGCATCATATGAATGAAATAATGCCATTTGCAGCCACATGGATGGGCCTAGCGATGATCATACTAAGTGAAGTGAGTCAGAGAAAGCCAAATCTCCCCTTTTTAAAAGACCCGATCTACTGGCTATTTTCTTGAAACCAGAAGGAATAAAACCAGTTTAAGTGAAATACCGCTGGATTATGGCCGCATGTTATTGCAAATCTGCAGAGGAGGACTATGGAAGCAAGTCTCTGGACCAGGGCAAGTGGTGCTTCCCATTTCTCAGGGCCCCAGTGTACTTTGGGATTGTTAAGACTGGTAAAAAGAACTTCTGGTTATGAGGGTTTCTCTACTCGGGAGAGTTCACGACCGTCTAAGAAGTGAAGGCCACTCTCTCCTCCTGGGCTGTGCTGAAAAAGGATCAAATCCAGGAAGTCAGAGGTGGGTGTGGGGGGAACTCAAGCCAGTTCCCCCTGTCCCCACTCCCACCCACTGCCTAGTGGGTGTTAGGTCAAGGCTGTATCCTGCCCCTTTCTCTTATCCTCCTTCAATCCGCTCTACCCCACAGCGACTGAGATCTTGTCAACGCGTTCATCCCAGTGTGTCCCTCCTCTGCTTAAAACCTGTCAATGACTTCCCTTTGCTTCTCTAGGATAAAGATAGAATTCTTGATCATGGCCCCCGAGCGGGATTTCATGAATGAACAGCCCTGGACTCATCAAACAAGGACAGGGTGAGAGACTGGAAACACTGGGCGCGTACCCTTTGTCCTCTCATTGTTCCAGCTCACCAGGTTCTGCGGTGGTAACTCTCCATTATCCAGCCAGCATTGTAGGCAATAACTTTATTCAGGTCAAATAAACATCACAATACAGATTTATCCAACAGGCTCTGGAAACTGTTTACAGGTATCACCTATGACACACGGCTGTTTTGCGCTAAAATGTTTCCAGCATCACAGATCACACAATGAATTTATACATCGATAATGACTTTTATCTGGAAATACAGAGGCTCAGCTGGCCCTCAGGGTTGGGCCCTGGGGTTTCAACTGAGTTAAAGAGGCAAAGATTGGAATTTTCTTAATAGCGAATCTATTCTGGGAAATATTTAATGAGGACTCCCTTTGGAAGCCAGAGTGGTTCATGGAAGTCATTTTTAATTTATGGGTAATATTCAAATCAGAGTTTGTAGGTTGAGCTGAGACTTGAGAGTTTTGAATAATTGGATCAAGGAACATATTAACTTCACAAATAAAAGTTTAGCTGGTAGTGTAAGTTCCACAGAATATCCTTTATAGACGAATATGTTAGCACAGTACAGTATCTTCTTGAGTCTGCATTCCCATTATTCTAAGAAAACAAGACTCCATCAACACACACAGTTATTGGTTGTATTATTCATAGTCCATAGATATAAGAACCACAAAACACCATAGAAAGTTACAGGAATGTAAATATTTAGCTAACTAAATAGAATAAATACCATCTATAACACTGAGTATCTACTAACAGGGAAAAGAAAAAAAAAAACCCCAAACCTTAGTCACAATGCATTCAGAACTGGATAAAGCCAGAGGGGCCAATTTGCAAGTATACAAAGTAGTGAATGTATTTCTTTTAAACGTCCATTTAACAAATTCATGGTGCAAACTGGAAAATTTTCGTAAATACAGTTCAGAGGTTCATTTTGTGAGAAAATGCTTATTCATGCACTAAATCACATGAGCACTGATACATCAAATAGAAAAAAAAAAATACAGACTGATTGGCTGAAGCCGATACGTAAGTGACTCACACTCCTACAGGGTCCGCATCCAAAAAAGTAACACATGCACGTTGTGATGCACCGAATTTCTTAGAGAAATCGTTAAAACATCCTTCGCATCAAAGCGCATGAAAAAGCTCAATGCTATTTGATTGCCTTTGTGCATATCACAGACTAGGGACGTCAAGCTACGAAATGCTTCTACTAGCTCAACACACACACACACACAAAACGACCGTGGAAGTATCTGCATATGTAACAAGGTGCTTCTCCAGCTAGCCATCCGCAATGCATAATATATCTCCTCACGTCATCTCATCTCTAAGTACTATTTATCACGCCCCGGGCCTTCCTGCTGTAATGAGGACTGCAGAGCTCCGGCTGACATTCAACACTCTCTGCATTCACAATTGAAACTCTTCAAAAAAAAAAAAAATTCTTCTGCCACTGAAATGGAAGGTGGTGAGGCTACCTTCAGAAGAATGCCAACCCTACCCTGTTAAATCTGATTGGTAAAAGAAGCAGGGCCGCTGGGCTGCTGGCCAAACTCATCCGAGGATGGCCCCAAACCCGCCTGCTGGCTGTACCCCCCGCTCGACCCATAGCTGTCTTGATTGTACCCGCCTTGGTTGTAGCTACTGGAGCGCTTCTCCATGGGGTCCGAAAGGTATCTCTGTCCCGAGGAATGCCAGCCGGTCTCCTTGAAAACAAACCAGATGTTTCCCGCCCACAGGATAAAGTTCAAGAATCCGAAGACCTGAAGGAGAATCAGACCAAATGAGCTGACAGCCTGGCTGGAAACCCCGGAAAAAATAAACCTCAGTTTCAGAAAAACCCTTCACAACACAAAAGGTCCCTCTTCACCTCAGTCTGGAGGCCTCTTCCGGTTTCCCATCTGGAATCACTATTTCATTTAGAATATTTGACTTTTCATGAAGGCTTATCACATGTTAGGCACTGCATGAAGGGCTTTATGTGTATCCATTCATTTAGTCAGAGAAGGTGCTATTATTATGCCCATATCAAAGATGTGAAAACTGAGGTTCCGCAAAGCTAAGGATCTCATTCAAGGTCACGTGACATGGTAAGTAGTAGACCTGGGTCAAGCCCTGTTCTATCTGACCCCATAGTCTGCGCTCCTACCCCATCCCTCACTGTCTCCCTCACTGAGGCAATTCCCATGGTGTGTAGGTTTCTACAGGGGACACAGGGTTGAGTACTTTCATTTTAATGATGGTCTCTCCCTTTCCCCAGATGCTACTTGATTTCTAAAAAAAGGGATGCTCAAGAAGAACCTGGAAATCAGGGAAACGTAAAAGTAAGAACACAAACAAGGCGTTGCTGTGGGCCTGTTTCTAAGGAGCCACGATGTCTTACTCTCTTGTCATCACAGAGCCACCACAGACCTCTTGGCTGGCACATTTTTGGGGCACATGGGCCTTTGAATCCTTTCTTGCCATTTTGTTGCAACTGAAATCAGAGTAAGGATTTTGATTCTAGCTCAGATGTGGGACAAGAGACAGACTGAAATAGCCAGCTCATAGTGTGAGAGAGAATGGGGAGAGGACACCTGGATTATCTGCGAAGATGTATCAAGTTTGCTTGCAGTGAAGCTGGAGCGACAGAAGCACACATTACGGATGGCGAGTCAGTTTCTGTTACTCACAACCCAACCGTTACACCACACACGGACCCTGTTACCAGGACTGGCGTACAAAAAAATGGATTTTAAGGATATAAAGATCATCTTGTTTCAGCCAGTTTAAATTGAGTTTTCTGTCACTAGGAATCGGAAGACACTAATTGATACAGACCTGTAACTAGAACAGCACCAGATCTATCCTTCCACACAGATTTATTTGGTTTCTATCCATTCTTCTTTTGATTTTAAGAGACACATCACATTGTTTGTCATTCAGATTTCACATCTCCTAGCCTAAACCTTATTAGACGCATCAGGAGCAGAATGAGACGGACTGGGCAGGATGTCAATTTACTAGAAGAACTAACGAGCACACTGAATGATTTTATCTGTCTTCTCTTAGATTCTGTGATGAGGGTTACAATAACTTTCATTAGGCACAAACTACACAAGCAGTAGAATACATTCTCATCTATACCTCAAAGGATTCATCCACAGGTGTGGCCAGAAATAAATAAAAATTACTGTGAGATCTTAATACAGAGTTTATATATTTCAATCTTTACTATCTTAGCAAGGCGAGATTCACTGAAAAATCACCAATTGCTGATCAGCTACCCTTTCCCCCCCTTTCTTAAATGCCTTCTCAGACTAGATTCCAAAAAGCTGTAGAAACGTAAGATAATCTTGAAGCCAAGATAATTATTGCTAAGGGTTGCCAAAGACTGACATTCCTTCATCAGACCTTGTTGGACTGTCTCTCCTTCATGCTTTTTTGCTACCATTACAGCTTCTGTCTCTCAGATACAGTTTCCTTCATATAGTTTCTTTGGAATAACACAAGTTCTGACATTCATAAAATAAGAATCCAACTTAGTGGCCCTGCTATCTGTCGGATTTTCTGTCTGCCTGTAAGAGCCATACACTTGATGATAATATTTGACTTTGTTCAACTAATATAGTTCAGCTTTTCCAAAGTTATCAAGCAACTCAACCAGGAGCACAGAGAAGATAAAAAACATTACTTTAACTATTATGACTATTTTTCATACCTTGCATTTTTTTTTTCTGTACTCTACCGGGTCTGCGTATTTTTCTGCAGACAATCAACTGAATGTACTCTTAACTATGTGTGGCTGGAACAATGTTTTCTTCCCAGGAAACCTCTTCTCCCATCAAATATTCCTTTTCATTTCTGGCAGACTTCAGCCTGAAAGTTCAGATTGTATTTATCTGCTTCCGGCTGAGAATTTTGACTTGACTGTCATCCAGGCACCAGCTGCCAGTATCTACTGGGTTCTTACTAAGAACTCTAATTGGCAGCATTAAAGCCTACGGTTCTGGCTGTAGAAAACCGGAAGGCCAAAGGAGCATCTTGCATGTGGAGTGAACGGGCCACCTTTTAGATTGGGCTAGTTTCAGAGGCAAACATTTCCAAGATGCCTCCTGAGACGTTTTTCTGATTGGCAGACAAAAATTTGGGAGGTAACGCATAGAGGGCAACGTACCACAGAAGTGTTCAGGCTGGACATCACAGGGCTGTGGACCGCCATGCATTTGTTGGATGGCTGTTTGCAAGCGGACATCAGTAGGAGTACTTCTTTGGGATCTGTAGCGACCTTGACATCAGACAGCCCTTTGGCCCAAGCTGACGAACCCACCAGCCACAAGAACGAAAAGACTACAGTGACAATGAAGTCCTACAGGAACAGAAAGATAACACAGGAAGAAGAATGTGAACTTTAGAAACAAATCGATGTGTTTATACAGCCCTTTGGTTTGCCATTTGGAAAATTCCAAGAACGCATAGCATTGGAACCATAATAAAAAACAAAGTTTGTGATATTATATTTCTAGAAAATAAATAATAGCAATATTAATGAATGCTTACTATGTTTTGGATAATGGGAGGGGGGAGGCAGTGGGAGTTACCACCCAAGACTTAGCAGACCACGTTTTAACATAGGACAATTCGAGGGGAGGGTATAGCTCAGTGGTAGAGCACATGCTTAGCATGCACAAGGTCCTGGGTTCAATCCCCAGTACCTCCATTAAAGTAAATAAAAATTCATTTTTACCCTCCTCCAAGTAAATAAATAACATAGGACAAGTTTTCATATCTACTGTGTTTATGTTTCACTAATATAAAAATGTTGCATCTGTTTACCTAGAATAATAAAAACACCGATCTGGAAAGGAAAATAGTAAATTTCAGCAGAAATAGACTTTTAAAAATTCTAAACGATAAGAGCCTCAAGTAGAAAACTTGGTATATATTTCTTTCCCACCCAAGGGCACGGCACATCTCCCTTACTCTGGGGAGCCTTCCCTCATGCTGTGACTGAATTACTTTTCATCAAGATCCCATGACCTACACCGAAGGAACTCTTACACTCTAAATAGAGATGCTGTTGACGATGACATTTGTTAGGTGTGACTTTTGTGAGAATGTTATAGAGGGTCCACTGCTAAGAGTGGCTGAATCTTTGAAGCAACTGGTCTCTTTTCATCCAGGGGCCATTGAACATTATGCCGCAAACCAGCTGAACGTTTCATAGGGGCTTTAGAAAATTTAGGGCCAATTTGTTACCCACTCGTAAGGGTTTTTATAAAGCCTGGTATTTTAACACTATTCCAGGCTTTGTTTTCTATACCCATCCTGCCTTTCCTGTCTTCTTTCCCCCTCATTTTTAATTAATTTCATCCTGAGTTTCATGTTTCCTTGTGAGCATCTGAAGTCGTTTCTGGAATGAGACGGAGGTATAAACAAAGAGGCAAACAAACACAATATCCGCAGCGTTTCAATGTCAATAAGAACATTTGGAGTAAAGAGACTCCAGGGTTGGGATTTGAATTAGAAATTGGAGGGATGATTACACATAAACAAGCCAGGCTGACTGTGTCAGATACAACTTGCTGTTCGTATTCAGTCTGGTACCTTATTTCATTCATTCATTCCTGCATTCGAAGAGTAATTTCTGAGTAATGCACCAGGTATTGAGCAAGGTCTTACGGGGGTTTAAAAACGCAAAATATGGACTCAGCTCCTCTTGATATTACAGATTTGTTAGCGGCCACAGATACCCTATAATCCCAGTTATGAGACAGTAGCTGCCATCATTTATGCTCATCATAATCAGAAAGACTGTTGGGATGAGGAAATACTTAAGAACAGAGTCATGTGAAAACCTCTCAATTGGAAATTGGAGAAAATAATATCAAAGTTTTTAGATGTATTTATTAAAATAATGGTAAAAATGCCTAACATTTATTGAGCACTTATTATGTGAAGTATTATTCCAAGGTTGTATGTATTAACTCGTTTAACCCTGACAACAACACTGTGAGATAGATGCTTGTCCTGTACCCATTTTACAGTTGAGAAAAATGAGGCAAGAAGAGGTTAAATAAAATCCTGAGCCATGAGTTAGTAAGTAGGGGAGCCAGGATTCCAAGCCTGGCATCTGCTTCCAGGACCTATGAGCTTGACTATTCTCCACTGCCTTTCAAGTCTGCTTTAAGGAACATTCATCTTCTTACTTAAAACAAGGACCCTTAGAAAGTCAAAAAGTAGGGCCTGAGGCCCTGCTTGAGTTAAATATGACAAAGTGGTAATGAGTCACTTTCCCTAAACAAACTTTATTTAAAACTTAAAAAAATTTTTAGTATAAACAACTTTAAAAAATTTTATTTTTTTTGTAAATATAGTTGATTTACAATGTTGTGTTAGTTTCAGGTGTACAGCAAAGTGATTCAGTTATATATATATACACACACACACATTATTTTTCATGTTCTTTTCCATTATGGTTTATTGCAGGATATTGAATGTAGTTCTCTGCTACCCAATAGGACCTTGTTTATCTGTTTTATACACAGTAGTATCTGCTAATCCCACATCCCTAATTCATCTCCCCCCACCCTCTTTCCCCTTTGGTAACCATAAGTTTGTTTTCTATGTCTATGAGTCTGTTTCTGTTTTGTAAATACGTTCATTTGTGTCATATTTTAGATTCCCCATATAAGTGATATCACATATGTATCTTTTTCTGGCTTACTTCACTTGGTCAGTGATAATCTCTAGGTCTGCCCATGTTGCTGCAAATGGCATCATTTCTTTTTCATGGCTAAGTAATATTCCATTGTGTGCACCACAATTCTTTATCCAATCATCTGTTGATGGACATTTAGGTTGCTGCCATGTCTTGGCTATTGTAAATAGTGCTGCTGTGAACATTGGGATGCATGTATGTTTTTGAGTTAGAGTTCTTCCAGATACATGCCCAGGAGTGAGACTGCTGGATCATATAGCAACTCGATTTTTAGTTTTTTAAGGAACCTCCATACTGTTTTCCATGGTGCCTGTACCAGTTTACACTACCACCACCAGTGTAGGAGGGTTTGCTTTTCTTCACACCCTCCTCAGTATGTTATTTGTAGACTTTTTAATGATGGCCTTTCTGACCAGTGTGAGACGGTACCTCATTTTTTTTTAAATTATAGTTGATTTACAATGTTGTGTTAGTTTCAGGGGTGCAGCAAAGTGATTCAGTTACAGTATATATTCTTCTTCAAATTAGTTTCCATTATAGGTTATTACAAGATACTTTGAATATAGTTCCCTGTGCTATACAGTAGGTCCTTGTTGTTTATTTTATATATGCCTCATTGTACTTTTGATTTGCATTTCTCTAATAATCAGCAGTGTTGAGCATCTTGTCATGTCCCCATTGGCCACCTGGATGTCTTCTTTGGAGAAATGTCTATGAAGGTCTTCTACCCATGTTTCTATTGGTTTGCTTGTTTTGTTACTGAGTTCATAAACTTTGTTTGAGGTCAGGATCCATGTCCTTAGAGCCAATACATTTATTTTGGGGAGTTAATCCAACCTTTTACCCCTTAGGGCCATTTTATAAAAAGGACTGGTATATCGTACTAAAGGTATCCCACGTAAGTTACAAGCTCAGCGTCTGCCGTCAGACACCTGTGTGTGCTTAGGCACTCTGCTGTACTACGGGAAACCTCAATTTAGCCCTCTGTAGATTGGGGTATTCACAGCATCTCTTCATAGGACAGTTGTTAGGAGTGAAAATGTGTGTGTGCCTTTTCTCCCAGTAAGATGTCAGCTCCCTGAGGGCGAGGACTTCATCTACCTTGCTTATTTCTGGGTCTTGCCAGAAGAGGTGCCAGCAACATTTGTTGAGAGAATAAATGAAAGGAAGAGCAAATGAATAGACAAGATGGTCCCAATTTGGTTAGACAAATTTACGTTTAAGAGTTTACCGAGTGGTAATGGTAGGATTAGAGATGATTTTTGCTTTACAGAAGCTTGTTTTTATTTTAAACATGTTTTATCATCAGGCCAAATAAAAACAGCATGGCAATGTGGTCAAGGCACGGACTGATTACATCAAAGGCTCTCCCAGACAGAACTTCACATGGTTCTACTTGTCTTTACACAGCAGCATCAGGATTTATAATTAGATCAAAAAATAAACGTCATTAGAATTGAGAGTTTTTGCAACAAAGGGTTCCAGAAAGAAGACTTAATTCAGGTTTTCTGTCCCTAAGCAAAGTCTGACAATGGGGTCACTGTGTCAGAATTCTAGCTAGAGTATAAATTAGCCTCAACTTTTTTTTGGAGGGGGGACTTTGGGTGTAAGCCTGAGTAGAAGTTGCTTTTAGGTAGTGAGATGCTGGTGCAAATCCCTGACCTCCCCCCCGCCCTTCCTCCCCTCACCCTTTTCCTCCCATCCTTTAATCTCCAGTGGAGGTCCCGTTACTGAAAAAAGTTCATTTCGTTCGGCAAGCTAAAATGCCACGATGCTCAGGTTTGCGGGAGCGAGAGAGCGAGAGAGCGAGAGAGCGAGAGAGCGAGAGAGCGAGAGAGCGAGAGAGCGAGAGAGCGAGCGACTAGTCAGAAAGCAGCCAAGCGAGAAAACAGGAGAACAAATTTCAAGTCTACCTCCGGAAAGGCAAGGGGCTGGCGGGTATTTATGGGATAACCAAAGCAGCAGGGTGGTCCACGCCCTGGGGAACGTGGGGAGTGAGGGGAAAGATGATTGGAAAAAGGTGCGGGAATCCTCATTCTGCGCAGGCGTAACAAAGCTGCAGTCCTCTACACGTGGAGTTTTTTTTTTGCCCCTTGACGTCAAAAGGGCCCGAGCAGACGCTGGCGCATGCTCAGTTGAAGGGTTGTTGGTCCCACCCTGTCCTGACCCTCTCAGCTCCAAAGAGACACAGCTGACTCCAAGTTCCTACCACTTGGAGCACGTTGCAAGACCTTGATTGGCGAAGGCAGGTGAAATGGGTTTAACCCACTGGTTTCCCTGCCACTGGCCAAACCCAACTGGAACCCCATGTGATCCAAGCAAGTTACCTCCTGGACACACAACATGGTGGAGAGGGGCAGAAGGTCCATCAGAGGTTGTCCCAAACTAGTGGTTGTCTTAGGAACTGCAACAACCGTTGCTGTCACCTTTTGTGCTGTGTCACGTTAAATGTGCCGTGTCACATTAAATGTGCCGTCACATCTCGCGTGCCTCCCACACACCAGGCACTCTGCTCAGCACTGACGGACGTCATTAACCTTCTGGCCTAGGTACTTACGGTAACCCTGCTTTTCTCCAGAGGAAGCTGAAGCACACACAGGCCAAATCCTTCCCTTACAATTAATGCCTGGCTTCACTGCGCTGGATCA